ATTTTAATTTTTTTAAAAAAATACGATGGTATTTTGGAAGTTAGTGTCCTAAAACTTTGTTTGTAGAGTGCCGTTATCTTTGAGTTAAAATTTAAACTTTACCCTTTATGGAGATGACAAAAGTACCATTTGTCTTATAGTAATATTTACAAAATTGCCTCACAAAAGTAACTTTTTTTAAAAAATAGACTATAAAATTAATAAATCTACATTTCACAACTCTCTCTATCTTTAACATTTGTAATTTGAAGGGCTGTGAAGTTTAGATTTTTTTTTCCTATATATATATATATATATATATATGAAAAATTAAACTGTAAATACGAGATGCTATCATGTCCGTGAGATTGGCCCACATGCAGTATGGGCCGATGGGATTACACTATTCCGTCAACCCGTGATCTTTTCCGATATATAATTATGTAACTAATGCTATATATGGGCCACGACCAATCAAAAATAGGAAAACTAAAAAAAATAAAATTCACAATGGTATTTAGCTTATAAAAAAATGAAAATTGTTTGAAATGTGATTAATCAACTATAAACATAATATTTAATGAATTAACAATGGAATAAAAAAAAATATTTATTTTTAAATAAATATTAAAGACATTTTTCATTTATTATCCTAAAAGAAGCATTGCGCAATGCATGAGCATTTGCTGGTATTATAAAAAGGCGATTTCTATTAGCGTCATCTCATTATATTTGACTGCACTCCCTGTGTCACATTCCTGATCATTTTTATCAATGACTTAGGATATTTTGTTGTCTACTCAGGTAATAGGTGGGTTATTGTCATTTATCATAAATTGTTCTGTTCACTAAAAAAATATTTAACTCATTTTCCTATTTTATAGTTGTTTATTGAAACAAATATAATAGTTTTATCACTTTCACTGTCACTATATTTATGGAGGAAGTGTTATCTCCATCGTATTACTTCTAAATTTATTTGTTAAAGTGGAAAAACTAGTGCTTCTCATCTTCGGATCATTTCTCAAAGTCTTATTTAAGAAAAGACATATTAGATAGAGAGTGCATTCGACAAATATATTTTACTATCCTTATCATGGATTTACAGTTTTAGAAGGGAAATATTGTCTTATTGCCATTCCCAAATACTGAATATGAATTTTAGTTTTAGGAGAAGGCTAGTAGAACATACGTGGCAGTCTAATAGTTAGGCTAGGGGTGGCAATGGACCCATGGCCGACTCAAAAAATGCTCGGTATACTTGCCTGGCGGTGTGGGTATGAGTTCAACATTTGGACTTAACAAGTTAAGTCAAATCTGGACCTCATCACTATTTTGGTGTGTATTAAAGTTAAGATAGTTTGAGCCCTAAGTTTGAGTTTTGAGTGAATTAAAGATAGTATACAATAAGAACTTATAGTATATTAAGTTATTAATCGACAAGTTAGATGGTTTGAAATCTAGTAACGGATGATCGTAAAAAAAAAAAAAATAGGTGGATAGGGTATGAGTCCAATTTTTTAACAAATAGAGAGGGGGATACACTTTTCCAATGGGCAGGGCTGCCCGGCGCGTAATAAAGCCTGGGAAGACATGCTCGTATGGCCCAGCTAGTTAAGGCCTAAAAACTAAGGTAAGAAGCCTGCCCCACCGGTTAAGGCCCAAAACCAAATGTACGAAGCCCGACCCGCCCGTTGAGGCCCGTTGAGGCCCGTTAAGGCACCAAGCTTATACCAAACGCCCAAACTGCTTAGCCGTCAACTTTTACCTAAGCCCGAATCCCAAAAGGGTCTATTAGCCCTAGGCCGTCCCAGTTTACACTCGAATCTTTCTTTTCGCTAAAAAGTTGTTCCCGCCCTGCCCAGAGGCATTATGATTCTTTGGGCAATAATATTCTTCGTACGGCAGGCCACTGTGGTGAAGGGTCATCCGATTGTTGCAGATGCTTTGAAGATAGAGGGAGAGCTACATACTGACTTTCATACAGTAGAGAAAGAAAAAGAGAGAAAGAAGATGAGAGACCTTACAAGAAGACCCCGTTATCTCTCTGTCTCTCTCTCTCTCTCTCTCTTTTTGAGCATTAGGAAAACCCTGTCATATCTGTGGCCCGTGCTCTCTCTCTCTCTCCATACCGATGCCCCTGCTCCCCTATCTCTCTCCTCTGTAACCCCTCTTTCTTTTATCTGTGATTTCTCTCTCTTTTCAAACCCTAGCCCCCATATTTGTCACAAGCTATTCTTTCTTACTCTCTTCAAGCCCTAAACCCCATCAATGCGCCCTCTCACTTCGAGCCTGGACTTCATTTCCAGGTATGTTTTTTTCGTTTCTCACTCTCTCTCTTTCTTTTTTTCCCCTTTCATTTCGTTGTTGTTAGTGTTATCGATTTGGTGGAGAGGTAGACTTGATATTTGGTGATATTTATCTGTAAATATGATATTTACTGATATTTATCAGTAACTATGGCATTTACTGGATTTTCAGCAGATTTTTTTTTTGATATTTTACTATTTTTTTTAGCAATATCATGTAATGTGATGATAATGTTATACAGCTGGTTTTGTTGCTTTGTGATTCAGTACTCTGGTTTTCCTGCCTTCTACTAATACCTAGAGCGGAAAAAATGAATTTGGCTGGCCGATATTTCTTAGAAAAATAATAAATATGATATTTATTATAGCAAGAATTTTAGTGAATTTATTAATATTTAATGGTCAATATGGAAATTTGTTCCCATTTACTGTTCTTATCAGTAATAATGCTATTTACTAATATGCATACTGTTCTTTATCAGTAGTAATGCTATTTACTAATATGCATAGTAAAAGTGATATTTATCATTAATATACAGTTAATCAGTATATTATTCTCTAAAAATAATTGATTTTTATAAGTAATTGATATTAATCAGTAATTATATTACCTACTAATTTTTATGAGTAATGCTGTGATTTATTGGTATTTATCAGTAAATTTTAGGATATTATCAGTAAATATCAGTAAATTTGATGAGTAACTGGCATTATCAAAAAAAATTATTAGTAATTTTTTCATTACTTTTAGTGATATTGTTAAAAAAAAAAAATGATAGTATCTGTAATGTGCTATTTTTGCTAATACTTTATCCGAAAATATTAGTAAATTTACTGATATTATCATTTTACTGCTGTTTTTCAGTAACTTTAGTTACTTTATCGATAAAATCGGTTAATATGAGATTAACGGATATTTTACTTATATCGGGGGAGGTGCTGGTCAGTGTCCTTTAACTATCTTGTGTGTTTATGTAATCTATATTTAGTTACTTACGGCGTAAAATTGGCTTGTATTTGTTTAATTTTCAAAATTTGGCTTTTGTTGTGGTTTTATTTCCTTAGATAGGTCGGTTGTGTTGGTGAAATATATGAAGGAATTTTTTTTCCCTTAGCAACATGGCTTACCTTATTAGTAAACTTGTTTTTTTTCCTTGCGCTTCTTTTCTTTCGATGTAGTTATTATTTTTCCCTTTGTCGCATTGCAGTTGGGAGCACGAGAGTTGAAAAGGTCTGTTGTAATTATTCCTTTTGCCAAATGATCTAATGTTGGACAAATGATTTGTAGAACTGTTTTTATTTCAATAATGATAGACACCAGCTGAACGCCATCAAGTTTTATGGATGGATGGTGTTGGAGAGACAGTAAGGTCATCCAAGACATGAAAGGACCCAGAGTAGTAGGTCTCCCTCTCTCTCCAACCTTGTCCATCCTTCAAATCAATGGTGTTAGGCTGGTCTCTACCCTATATAGGTACATTTGGATCTACTTGATCATTTCTCTTAGACTAATATATGTTTCTTATATCGTGAAATAGAACCCTAATATCAGGTTGTAGTATTTATAGTTCAAATTGGAAATATTTATGATGGGACAATTTACTTTTGATACAAAAAGGTCTCAATCATTGCTAACCTTTGGATGTGAAATCGCATGGGTGGTGATGTGTCACTAGTTGAGCACAAAGTCCAAAACAAATTTTCTCAAAAGTTGTGATACATTTTAATATGCTAGATTTGAGTCTTGTGCTGTTCGAATCTTCATGACCATGTGCTTGTAAGTTTTATGTGTGTTGAACACCGGAACCTAGAATCGTTGGCATCTTGAGGGACATGGGTAAACTTCTTGAGCAATTCCATGTTATTACTTTTTGTTGTTTACATCACATTACCAAAAGTATCTATTGGATTTGGATCTGGTGTGTCTGTTATATTTTTTATGGCACTAGTACATAATCTTCTTTTTATTCAGATTAATGGAGTGGATAGTCAGGACATGTGATGGCTCTTCATGCTGCTCACATGAATTATTATCATAGTGATTCTGAAGGTCTGATTAAGCTGATTGGCTGTTTCTGTTGACCAGAATACAACCTAACTCATGGTTTCTGTTTTTCAATGTACTCTGTTGTTTATCACCAATAGTTTATATTACATCATGCATGTAAAAGATCATCTCATAAATTGCCAGGACTCTTTACTTTATTTGTAATTGATATACTTGATATTTATTTGTTGAATTCTTAATGTGCAGCCTATTGTTGGTGGAAGTGCTTGAGCCTTTACGGACTTTATTTTGAATTAGATGTATGGAGTCTCTTGTTATGAAATTGATGTAAGAATACGTGGTCTCTGAAATTGATGCAAGGATATGGGGTTTCTCTTATTTGAGAATGATGTAATTCTATGGATGTACAGGTCTCAACACTTCATATAATGAGGGCCTCCCATTTTTATTTAAGTCATATCACCTTTTTTCTGACTAGGGAGTCCATAATGTAGTTAGAGAGAGACATGGCATTTTTTGAAGAGAAGTGGGAGCCGTTGTGAGAGTAGACAAACTATTTGCTTTAGAGAGAGAGAGAAGGGGTGTTGTTTGTGGAACTAGAGAGAGAGAAGGGGTGCTGATTTTGGAAGTGACCGAATCTAGATTCGGATCCGGATCCTATAGATACTTTTGGATCTGGATCCAAATCCAAACATTCTGGATCCTATAGGATCCAAACCCAGATCCAAATCCGATATATACTTTTTGGATTCAGATTCAGATTTGGGTGGATTCGGATCCGGCCTTGAAAATTCTCAACCCTATATTTATTGGTATTTTATCAGTAAATATCAAGAATTTGATCAGAGATTGACTATCAAAAAATGTTGTTGGTAATTTTATCAGTAATTTTTATTGATACTGTCAAAAAATAATGATATTATATGTAACTATGCTGATCGGAAGACATTAGTAAATTTATTGATATTTTCATTTTACTACTGTTTATCAGTAACTTTACTGATAAATCGGTTAATATGAGATTAACGGATGTTTAACTTATGTAGGGGTGGGTGCGGTCAGTGTCTTTTAACTATGTTGCTGTAATCCATATTTATAGTTACTTACAACGTAAAATTGGCTTGTGTTTGTTTGAATGTTCAAATGTTGCTTTTTATTGTGGTTTTATTTCCTTAGATAGGTTGGTTGTGTTGGTGAGGGATATGAAGGAAAGGTCTTTATTTTTATTTTTGCTTAACAACATGACTTACTTTATTACTAAACTTTGGTATTTTTTTTCCTTGCTCTTGTTTTGTTTTAATATGCTTATTATTTTTCCCTTTCTTTATTTACTTGCAATTGGACCACATTGCAATTGGGAGCACAATAGTTGAGAAGGTGTGTTGTAATTATTCTTTTTGCCAGATGATCTAATGGACTGTTTCTATATTAATAACGACAGATACGAGCTGAACACCAGCAAGTTTGATGGATGGATGGTGTTGGAGGACAATGAGGTCTTCCAAGACATGAGAGCACCCAAAATAGTAGGTCTCCCTCCCTCATCAACATTTCCATCCTTCAAACCAATGGTGTTAGGCTGGTCTCTACTCTTTTTAGGTACATTTGGATCAACTTGATCATATCTATTAGAATGATATATGTTTCTTATATGGTTGAGGTTTGTATAAGGTGTCAACCTTAAACAATCACTGTAAGGTGCACCTCAAAATCTCATTAAAACATTTATTTTCAGTGCCAAAACTCTAATCATGCCTTAAATTCTATTTTTCACCCTATAATAAAATTAAAAGCTCCGAAAATGGTGCAAATCGAGTAGATCTATGAGCACTCAAAAATCTTGAAAATGGACGGTCTAGATAATGTGTTACAATATGCACTATTTTTAGAGTTTGAAATTCGTTTTTTTCTTTCATATCCATATATGTCGAGGTCAAGATGATCAATGGGAGAATTTTCTAGTGACAAAACAACCTTTTTCAATGGGATTTTTAGGTGCACCTTACTTCTACATTATAAGCCTTCTTATATTATGATAGAACCTTAATGTAAGGTTGTAGTGTTTATAGTTCAAATTACGTTTACTCGTATTAATTATTTACTTGTATTTGCAGGGTTTACACTCAGGCATTGGCGGTATCGGAAAAATAGGTACAATGTACATGCTCTAAATTTGTACGTGTTTAACAATATTTTTGTTGACATGAAAATAATGTCTCATCACTCAATTGTATAATATTATATTATAAAAAGTGTCATACATAAACTATAACTAGAATAGAGAATGTAGATTTCGAGGATAAATTTGTAAGAAGATATCATCATCGTCACGTCATTTGAGTCTTGTCCCAACTATTTGGGGTTGATTATATATGGGCCATACCCTCATTCCTGTTACCCTTTAAAACCTTCCACTTGAACCAAATTGGTCCTTCTAATTGGTGTTGTATCAGGCTCACACTGTTCATAGCCAGCCCACCTAAGTCTACTTTCCTTTATTTTACCGCCTATTGGACCCACACCCTTGAATTCCCTAAGATGTATTTCATTTTGAATTTCTATTGTTTCGTGTCTTGCGACTCATCCATCTCAACATTCTCATCCAAGCTGTACTCATCCTATGGATATGTTGTTTCCTTACCACGCAACATTCCGTCCCATAAAGCATGGCTACTCTTTCGGCTGTCCTATAGAACTTCCTTTTCAGTTTCATTGGTATATGGCCATCGCATGAAACTCCGGATGCACGTCTACTTCACCCACACAGCTTTAATTTATAGGAAGATATGTAGATAGCAAAATCAATGGAGATCAACAAATTGAAGAGATATAAGAGAGATTCACTTATGGAAAGTTTTTCCATGATACTATATAGTGTTTTCTAGGAGGGAGAAACTTCCAAATACCAAGAATAGATGGAGGATTTCACCTATGCTTTGAGAGAAAAGTATAGGCATAGACAAATTTCTTAGTAGCGTAAAATAGATGTGTACATGTCTTCCCTTTTTTTTTTTAATCTATCGACACTTAATTTGAATCAAATATTCTTTAGCGTATAAAATTCTATTCCTAAAATGGAACAAAGAAGACCCCTCAAGAGATATCAGGAAGGGACTTCTCCATCTCTTTGTTCCTAATGTAACTTTTTCTCATGTACTAATCTCCCTTATATATTGTATTTGTTTTACTTGCATTAATATTTTTTACGATTTGTTTTAATGAATAGGTTTGGGTTCTTTATTCGTTGATTACTGTCTTTTATGTTCACGTGCATCTTTTTCCTTAGGGCGTGTTTGACACGCGGAAGTGATAAAATATAAGGAACTTCGCTTTTCTTGTTTAGGGCCCCAAATGGGGAAGGTTGACTTTCTTGTCGGGCATAAAAGCCCCTCACCATCTCCTTCCCTCACCGCAGCTCCTTCTTTCACCTCTCGTTGCTGCCATAGCCACCCTACTTCTGGGTACCCCTCCGCTCTCTCTCCCCTCTTTCTCACTCCCTCTCCCCCCTAAAATTCCCCTCCCCTGAAAATTTCTCTCTCTGTCCATTCCTCTATGTGGCATCCGTAAAAGGGGCTGATCCAAACCTCCTCTCCCACTCTCTCTCTTCTCATGGTATCTCTCTCGCTGGGTCTCTCTCTCTTTCTCAGTCCCTCAGTCTCTCTCTCTCTCTCTCTATGATCTGCTCCATAGTTACCGGGAGCGAGAGTGGGAACGGCTCTGGCTTTGGCTCTGAGAGCGGGAGCGTCATGTTGAGGGCTGCCCAAAGCTCAAGAGCTCGGGGAGCGAGTTCCGGCGAGGGTAAAAGTAGTGGATCGAGATATCATATGAACAAGGAGCGCATTATCAATACATCGAAATCTAGATCCTTATTTAACGGGTACGCGTTCCATTCAAATGGGATTGTTTTGCCATGTTCATTAGGATCGTGCTCCCATCGACAACAGGAACAGGATCCCATTTGAAGTTGAGTTGTGCCCCCTTCTAAGAGTGACTACGTTCCTATTTGGAAAGGATCGAGCTCCATTCAAGGAAGGATCATGTTTTGTGCATGATTGATCTGCACTCCCATCGCAGAACTCCACTTGTATTAAGAACCCCACTCCATTACACATCGATTCGTGCTCCCACTAAGTAGGCTGCCCGTTCCCATTATCCCATATAAATGCGATCTCGTTTTGGTTTAGTCTAGAAACCGCCTATCTAGCAATGGCCCATGGGGCTAGATCCATGCACAACCAATCCTAGATGTCCATGGATTAATCAAATTCCATTAATCTTGTATGAGATAAATTCTTTCAATGATCTATATAATTATATTCTTGAAACGGTTAATGCTAGTATTGTTCAACATTTATACATGATATGAAAATGGGTGGCACCTTGGTGTTTGTGTACCTGGAAATATATTGTCTGGGAAACAAATTATTAGAGTAATACAAAACTAGAGTAATATATTATCTGAAAATGGAATGTTGTTGTATGGGTACCATTGTCCTACTGTTTGGCTACGTTTCTGGGGAATGCATTACTGTTATTTTGGGTTGGAAAAACTGCATAAAATTTTTGGGGTTATAAGGTTTCTAGGGGATCTTTTAGACATCACTCACCTTAGAAATCATTTCCTTGTGTCCTATGTGGGCTATAGTGAATCTAGATGGGGAAATCATATGTAGATGTGATTCAGTCCAAGTTTGGATAATTATGAATCTTGTTCCCTAAAAAGATATTCAAATTACGTACGGCGTGGCAACATGACTTTGCTCGAAATCAATTCCCATGTGCCCCTCTGATGGAGGACGGAGAGAAACGAGAGAGAAACAATTCACAATCGGCAAAATTTATGGGATGTCGACTGTGATTCAAAGACAGTAAGCTAAACCCAACAAAGCCTAGCTCAATGGCTTCTATATGGGTTCAAGGACCACCCAAAATGGGAACTTTGTTCCTGATTTATGAAAATTTACAGCAAAAATATTGATTCCAACAAGGTAAAAGTCTTCCTTTTCTAATAGTCTTGGATTGGCTCCTAAGCCAAAGCTTTCTTAACTTTCCTAGGAGTATTAATGGACGCTATCCCCATGCAAAGGGCCTCTTCCCAAGCAAATTTTAAATTTAGATTCTGACCTAACCCTCGTAATTTTTCCCAATGCTCAAATTTTAATTGGAACCCCCCAGCTTTTAGTAAATTCCAGAAAAGTGAATTTAAGAGAAAAATTACCCAAAATTCCCCCCCTTACAAATAAAACTAAAAGAGAAAATGTAGTCCACAAAATGTTGGAAAACTTTATTTTGTTTTCTGTATCAATATTTAGGGGCTCAGAAAACTCGTCCATGAGTTTGAGCCGACAAAATACTCCTCAAGGGCTTCCAGATCAATCTTCATCAATTCCTCTTTAATCCACAAACTCTCAAAATTGGGCTTGCCCTTCCACTGTACCACATGCTGACTATAATCCCCGCAGCAGGTAGAAATGATGCCGATGTCCAAGATCCTCTCCACCTTGTTCCCTTTTGCTTAGCTAAATGTTTTTCCCACCTGGCATCACCTTCTACAACATCCTCATGATACTCATATTAAGTTGGAGACGTTGAAAATGGGAGAAATTTCATATCTTCCGGGGAGCTTAATTTTGTAGGCATTTTACCTCATCTGGAGAAGGGCCAATCTTCTTATATTTAAGCTTATGGTTCGGGCCTCTTATGAAACACTCATGCCTAAAGTAGACCATTACCAAGTCTCCTACTATTTTCCCAATGGTGTAAGTTGGCACGGGTTTGTACTTGTTGTAAGCACTTTTGTAAGCTTTCCAGAACTTGTTGATAGAGGTCTTGAATTTGCTCAGCCAAAGCTTTCAAATCATCGCTAGCTCTCGCTTCCTCGGGCAAAGGGACTTGGTCAAGCACCTTGCTTGGTGGTTGAGCAACACTACCTCAAGGACTACCTCCTTGAAGAAAAGATCAGCTGCTTAGTCGCATCTAAAGTGTTTCCGCAAGGAATGAAGTGGGCTATTTTAGAGAACCTATCTACCACCACAAAGATAAGAGTCAAACTCTCTCGAGGTGCCTGGAAGCCCCACCAAAAAGTCCACACATCTGTCCATGGTCGGTCAGGGATGGGTAAGGGAGTGTAAAGGCCAGTTTTTTGAGACCGTCTCCACGAACAGGATGAGATATCTCTTTAGTTTGGGCCAAAAGTACTTATATTCCACAAGGGTTGTGGTCTTATCCTGCCCAAAGGAACCTCTAAGGTTGTCACCATGCATTTCACCCCTAATTTGGATGCAAAGGACATCCTGTGAATGCTAAGCCGGATTCCTCAGAGGAGAAAACCATCCTGCAAAACAAAAACAACAAATGCTTCCCTTTCTCCTCATGCAAGCTGCTCAAGGATTTTAGAGAAGAATGGGTCAGTAGTATAAGCTTGAGATTTGGACTCAAAACTGCTCATGAGGTTCTCAAAACATTAGAGAGCCACTAGAAGTTCTCGGAGTCTCATTACCATGCTATTTTGTTGGATTGGGGTGTTTCTCGCAAGTCAATTTCAACTTGTATGCAACCTCTTTAAACACCATATTGCCTCAGCTGCCACTATCAATAATAATAGTGCACACCTTCCTAAGGATTGTAAACGAATCCGAAATGCTTTGTTTTTGGACCCACAACTCTTCTAGCCTCAAGATGAGAGCACTCCATTTGTTCACTCCGAGAATCAATTCGCAGACATACTTACCAAGGCCTCTAATCGAGTTCGACTAAAGGATATATCGGGTAAGCTGGGCATCCATATATAAGTGTAGCAACTATTATGGGCTCATGCAACTGTTATGTGCTCATGCAACTGTTATGTGCTCATGCTCATTAAAACATATGTAACAATAGTTACTCCTATACATAATGCCCATTAAAATGTATTCATTTATTTTATTTTATTTTATTTCAAAGTCCAAATGCATTACATACATATTGAATATGCATCCCTTTATCTATTCATTTATTTTATTTTATTTTAGAGTCCAAATGCGAAAAGGGATGCGCGATACATATGCAGTGATTGGTATAACATCGAGGTATGTGTGTAGTCTGCAAGTGCCGTTTAACTTTTATCCAGGTAGTCATACTTATGTGCGAAGAATGTATTATTAGTGGGGATGACAACTTCAGTTGAGAAGTTAGTTGGGGTGGGTTGCCGCAAGAGACTTCTAACTACAAATGGCCTAACACAATTTAAGAAGATGTACCAAATACATGTCATTGTCATGAAACTATGAAACTTCAATTAGGATTGAAAGAAATTGGATGGGATTGTCTTGAAACTTAGATTAGGATTGAAAGAAATTGGATGTAATTGTCATGAAACTGCGATTAGGATTGAAAGAAATTGAATGTATTATAGAAATTGAATTTATTATGCGTGTGGATGATACTTGGGTTAGGTTGACTCAAGTCACTTCAAACAATGGGTTGCCTCAAGACACTTCAAACAAAATACCGTCGGCTGTTATACCAGCAATTTTGGGATACTCACGATTGTGATGGAAGCAATTTTGGATTCCGAAAATTGAAGTGATTTTGGATTCTGCCCTTATATAATCGATTTTGGGATACTCAATAGGGACTTAACACAATGATTTTGGGATACTCAAGATTGATAGGGACTCAACACAATGGAAGGATCTACCGAAATAGATGTGATGCAATGTAATAAGAATCTAAATATGATGCAATGTAATAAGAATTTGCCATATAAAACTGTTGGTTGAATCTAACACATAAAACTGTTAGTTTTTTCTATTGGGTTTGCTTTTCGTGTTTTTCAAATATGTAAATATAAAAATTGATTGAAAAGATCCATCTCACTCCAGTAAGAGTCGACTGGAGAGGGAATTTGTTGAGATTGTTGATGTTGTTGTGTTCTTGGGCCGTTCATCTTCCATTTTGCTAGTTGATAACTAAATGAATTTGTTTTGATTGTTGAGATCCTTCCCATATGAATTTGTATCATTTTAAGTTCAAATATGAATTTCTTTCGGATTTGATCGCTTATCTTAATCCTTTGATCACTTATCTTGATCCTTTGATCATTTATCCTTAAAACATAGCCTAGGATGATGATGAGGACGGGCTTTGATCGACGACGGGAAACCTTTCCGTACATGCGATATAACCTTAAGCGACGTTAAAATTTTCCTGCCTTCTCATGACTGGTGTAAACTTTTTAATCCAAAAAAATTCTATTGTCAACTCCTTCAATTCGTAGGTTTCTTATTATGATTTTTATTTGGGATTTCATTTTGTAATTGTATTGATTTGACGATATAAATCAGGATATATTGAGAAAATGTAGGAATAGTGTGGGTATATAAAAAAGAAGACTACATTGTTTGAAGCACGGGTAAAACCAAAAGCCCCTCTTGTTTCAAAGAGAGGGGGATTCACATTTCATTTGATAGTAAGAGGCAAATTGAAAGCTAAGCAATGGTTTCAAAGAAAAAGAGGGATGGGTTATTCACATTTTATTTGATAGTAAGAGCAAATTGATTTTATTTGATAGTAAGAGCAAATCGAAAGCTAAACAATGGTAATTCCAAAGATCCCTTGGGAAAAATGGAGATGTCTCGTACGTTACTTGTAATGAGTGCCACTAAATATGCCGAAACAAGCATATGGAATCAGGCAAGTAGCCCAGGCAATCCAAAACCACAAGTATGAAATAGCGCATGTATCCATAATTACCGAAATTGAGGGGCTTTCATAGTAGTCCGCACATTTGTATTTTGGGGCATCCGAACTTGTTCTCCAAAAACAGAGGTGGTATGTATGCAAATCGAGAAAAGAAAATATAGCAACAAATAAGAGCATGAACCCCTGCACTTGTCGTGAGAAAAAAGTGGTCCCCTCATATTGCATGACGTATTTTTCTCTCTCTTTTCTTCCTCTCTCTTAATTATCTGCACATGTCCAAGTTGGGAAAATAATGAAAGGGAAGTGATGTTAAGACAACTGGTTTTTAGAGAGAGAACCATTTACGTAACGCAAAAACTTCTTTACCCCAAGCAAAATGTAATAAAATCTTGAGACAATGCAAAAATGTATAGAGAGGGGTAGCTCAATGAGATCCCCAAGTATCTTCCTCGTACCACTGAGTTGTGGAGTGGGTACAAAACATAGTTACTGTTTTTTTTTTCTTCTTCTATGTATCTCGTTTTTTAGGATCTCGTTCCCTAGAGCGCCGGGATCGAGTTTTTTAGATTTAACATTATAAGGAAATGGAATTCCAGCCCCTAATAGTATTTCTAGCTGATGAATCATGTAAGGATAGCCAGTTGTATTAGTATGCAAGATAATGAGTGTACATGCGTTGAGAACTGTACGAAGTGGAAAATACATTAAGTTTGGTCTAAAATTTAAAATATATACTCTTTTCATTCTAATGAACAATCACAAAAAGAAAAATTTGAAGATGTAATTTTAAATCCAATTAACATTGGCGGTCCATTTTGATAAGATGATTAGATGGAGGCTTTGAAAGATTTTTTTGTTTCCAATATTTGTTGATGGTTTTATTATCATTAGATGAACAAGGTTAATAAAAAAAAGAAATGATTTTGAGTTTGTAATAGTCTAGATTGGTTGTTGAAGGGGTTTCATTTTGACCACATCTAGAGTTCAAATGAAACTTTTTTTTTTTTGGGATTGATTATTGAGATGAAGAGAGTGTATATACAAAATTTTGAATCATACAAATACCACAAACATGATTTTCTAGAAGTGTAATTGCATTATACTATGATACAACTGTTGCATTAGATCGTTGCCCATTAAGAATCGATATAAGGAGCCTATAGTTACTGAAAATTTTTTATATAGAGCCGAGGCTTTAAACAATATTGTGAATTTTTTTTTGAGCATTGTGGTCGTTGAGCTGGAGTTAGTGGCATTCACAAGCTTAGGGATTGTGATTGAGATAATGTTTCTCGAAATTTATTGAAAATTGTAATTCATAAAAATAATTGTTGAAGATTGTGGCACAAAATTTGGTTCTTCCCAAGGAGCACCCCTGAGTTGTGGGATACTTGGTCCATAAACTGCTATGAGCTTGTACTGGAAGTGGTTTGGGATTTTAGAGAGGCAAGTTGAGTATAAATATAACACCTATGAGGGAGGAGACGAGATTGGAAGCATTGGATCTCGGAGGACCATGGATCATCCCTAGAGGTCACTTGGGCTTCCAGAGCAAACCCCATTGGCGTGGGCAGACGCCATTCGTGCCAAAAGAGCTACAAACTTGATACCCCAAGTGGTTTGTTTGTGAGATAATTTTATTTTAGGAAAAACTTTCATGTCACTCCACCTATATATATATATAATCTCAGCCGTCAGATCTGAGTAAACAACTAAGATGGCTTGAGTCATAATGTTACAAGCTGGCTCTTAAGCATGAGATCTTGATCTTATGGCTCATAGTATTTTATTGTTATTTTAATTTTATAAATTTTGCCAGTGAAATTTACTAGTATACATACATCTTACAAGGGTGCACATAATAAAAATAAAAATAAAATGTTTCTTGCGATAAAATTTATCAAAATACCCCTAATACTTTTAGGGCCATTTTAATTATTTATTTTTATGAGAAGATTTTTTTTTTCTAAGTGCGTCCTAATAAGGAGATAAGACACTCCAAATTTCAGGCCAAAAGGTTTTGTAGAAAAAATAAAAAATCAAATAGTATTTTGACGTGACATTGTAACATGAGCAATTCTAACTGTAAATTCAGATCGAACGGTTGAGAAGTGGAGTCATGTATAATTTATATGTGGTTGGGGTCACACAAAAAGCTTTTCTTTTTTATTTGTAGAGAAATTTATACTATTGTTCTTGCAGATTACTATTATTTAAGAAATCTTTTAAAATAGTTCACTATTCTCTAAAAAAACAGTGAGAATTAATATCCAATATTTTCAAAACAAATTGATATCTAAAATGGTGAAGTATGTAATTGGAGTTTTTACTTCTGGTACAACAGGTCAAAGCCATATCTAGTCATCGAATGTAAAATTAGACAACTTTTTGATGCATCTATAACCTCCTCATTTTATATTTATATCTAATGACTAGGGATGATATGACCTTGTACCAAAAATAAACAATTTTATAGTATACAACAGTTGCAAAATAACCTACATTTTATCATATGCATCTTAAACCCCAGAGGTTGCAAAGGACACTGTTCAAAGAACCTCTTGCGGGGAAATTGATCTTTCTCATTGCATCCCAAATAGCTTCTTATCTCATAGGAGAGAGTCATGCAATATCTTCCAAGCATACTAATATGTTATGAGTTTAGTTTTTGTTTTTTGGGGTTGGAGGGGGCCCCTGCTTGCCTTTTGTAAGAATTGAGTTTAAGATATAGCGTTGCAAATTGTCAAACACTAATCACGTTCTTTTTTTAATACCCCATTGCAATATGAGTAACCATGACCTAGTGTGACGCACCTAGCACGTTCTTTTTTTAATACCCCATTGCAATATGAGTAACCATGACCTAGTGTGACGCACCTAGCCCCTTGGGGTCATCTCACATCGGAAGCTTCACGGACTTTCGTAGTTGTAACAATAGTGTGCACAAGTTATATTTGGTCCTTTTCATATGAGATTTATGTTTGGTCATTTTCACGGACTTTTGTAGTTTTAGGAGTTAGTTTTTTTGAAGGTGCTAGTGGGGTGGTGTTATTAGAAATAAAAACCATAACATGTGATTAGGGTGTGGGGGTGCTATCATCATTTACTGTTATTAAGTAAATCTCCTTCCACAATCACCATGAACCCAAATTATCTATCGAAATAAGTTTCAACCAATGCCAAAGAGCATTGATTCAGTCTGATTTGTTGTGCCCATAACGCAAGGACCCAATAGAAAACAAGAACTTGCCCACGATCATTCATAATGAGAAAACCATTCCGTGAAGGATCTGCTATCATTTCTAACTAGACCCCATTCCTTGGAGGATCTAGGATGATTTTTAACCAAACCACCATGATTTAGGTTTCCAAAGAGCTACCATCAAAATTAAGTTTTAACACCCTATTATTAGAAAGAGGTTTTCAATCACTTCCAACTTTCACTTTTTTTACACCCAGTAATCTCTCCCAAATTATTAACTAAGTCAATTTTTCGAAAGTGATCTATACTCTTTCTTACCGAAATATAGCTAATGAGAGACACTAGCGCTCTGCATTTAACTCTTTCTCTAACCCGTCCCGTGTCTTAAAGGTCCTTCTATTCCTTTCTTCATTCTCCAACATTCCCCAACTCTCTTAATAAGGTTGGCAATTGGGGCCCGTGGACCCGAGAACGGGTTCGGGTATGAGTCCAAAATTTAGACCTGGAGGGTTGGGTCCAGGTCTGAGTCTATATAGACCAGACCAGACCCGAATTTAATTACTTATTTCAAATAAATATCTATAGTTATAACATTTAAATAAGGATATAGTTTATATAAGGTTGCAACCTTAAAAATTAAGGTTGCACCACCAAATTTTATTATAAGATATAATTTTGGTGTCGAAAATTCGTAGAATGGATTGAGAGTCTATTTTTATCTCTAATTATAAAATTTTGGATCAAAACTCGTTCAAATCAAATAGATCTATAAACACATGAAAATCTTGAAAATGAATGGTTGCAAGATGCACTATTTTTGGGAGTTGAAATCCTTTTTTTTTTTTCATATTCATATATCTTGATGTCGAGATGATCAATTAGAAAGTTTTCCAACTTCAAAACTACATTTTACAATGGATTTCTTTGATGCACTTTAATTTTACATTTTAAGATTGCAACCGTTTTCCTTTAAATAATAATATATACATTTTTAATATTGCAATTTTATATAAACGTTTTCCTTTAAATTATATATAGATATATCACATATTTTATGAAATACATGTTTAATACCGACCGTTATTCTGTTA